AGACAGACACAGACAGACAGACACGCTTGTGTTTTGTTCTGTTTTGTTTGCAGTACTAGGATTGAACCCCCAGTCCTTGCACTGAAGTACATCCGCCAGACCTTCTGTGTTTTTATTTTGAGACAGAGCCTTAACTGGCCAGGCTAGGCTCAAACTTGACTAAACCTCCCAGGGTGCTGAAATACCAGGTCTTGGCTACAGTGCCTGGCTGGTTATGTCCTCCTACAGAATCTAAGGGACTTGTTAAACCTGGAAAGCAGATCAAAGTACAGACAGATCAAGATCTCCCAAGAAAGCAGCCCCAGCTATGCTCTGATACACAAAAGGGTGGCCTCAGCCTCCAGAGATAATGGTTACAAGTCACTTGCAAGATACTGAAGGCCTTTCTGAGGCCAGAGGATAGGACACGAAACAGATGCTAGCAGCTGCTCAAGCAGGCACAGGCTAGAGTCTCTTTCTTCCTGCTGGCCTCCCCTTGAGCCCGACAGGATGGAGGAAGCCTGAAGGAAGCAGCAGGAAGGCAAGAAGAAAAACAGCAGCAGGTACAGCTTCAACCTGGATGGGCACCAGAATACCTAGAGTTAAGAGTGTGACAGAAAAAGAGAGGCCACAGATGTACAGAAGTCCAGGGTACACCCTGACCAATTAACAGAAAATCCACACTAACAGAGTCCACATGAGTGAAAGGTCAAGCACTGGTATTTTTTGATGTCCTTCAAGGTTCCTATTCTGCAGCTGAGCCTGGGACCAGTGTATTAGAAACAAGGTAAGTAAAGGGGCACAGGGCCTGGGTTTCAAAAGTGGTCAAGCAATCCTTTTAGAAGTCAAAGAACACAGCTCTGTACAAATACTTTTCCAGTCTTTCATATCTCTAGCAATTTACGGCTTGTGGGACAGAGAGACAGACCCTCTTCTCAAGGGCTCCAGCACTGGGTACAAAGCAAGCCACCCTACAAGATAGCAACTGCCAGCAGCAGCGGCAAGGAAAATTCTGCCAGTCTCCAAGATAAACTCCTCAGGGTAGAGCAGGATATTCTCCCAAAATGGCAGCCAACCCAAAACCACTGAGGAGGACCGGCCAAGATACATGAAAAGCCTCTAAGTGCCACAGACTGGGGGGTGCTTAGTGACAGAGGCTTCCCCAGCACACACAGGCCCTGGGTTTGATCACTAGCTCCACAGAAATGTAAAAGCCTTGATGCAAGAGATGTTAATTGATAAAAATTATATAGACTTATGCAGTAAAATGTGTTATTTTAGCAAATGCATGTATTGTGGAATGATTAAGTCAAGCCAATTGACATATTCATTTCCTCATATACTTATCTTTTTGTGGTAGAAACACTTGAAATTCACTCTTAACAATTTTGAAATATACATTAGTATTAAACTACAGTACCACGCTGGGCTACAGATCCCATTCTTCCTAGGTAATGAAACTGAAACTCTGTACACTATAACCGACATCTCCCCATGCTCCCTCCCCCAAGAATACTTAATTTGTAAGAGGCATTTTTTTGTAGGGTATAGTGGCACACACCTGTAGTCGCAGTACTCAGAAGGCTGAGGCAGGAGGATCACTCCAAATTCAAGGGCAGTCTGGGCTTTTTTCTGTCTCAAAAAAGAAACAAAAAGAAGAGATAATTTTCTTACATTGTACTATTACTGAAATTATACGGTCTTAGAAGCTGAGTCTGTTTCTGTTACGGTTTGTGTCTAGTTGTCCCCACAAGGCCTCCTAGAGTCCTGGGGCAGCTCCTGGAGTTTGTGATTAATTACTGTGGGTGCAGATGCTGCACCTGCCCTGGGGCAGGTAATCTGCATTACAATGTAAGGAGGGGAGAAGACTAGCTAGCTGCCTGAGCTGATGCCATTCTCTTGCTTTCTTGTTCTTTGCCTCCACCATGAAAGGTTGTTTTCTGCCTTGTGCCACTCTGCCTTGGAGCTAGCTGAGTATGGACTGAAATCTACAGTAACCGTGAGCTAAATAAACCTTTCCTTCCTTCATTTTGGGTTTCGGGTATTTGTCCCAGCAACAACAGAAGAGTAACTGAGACAGTTTCCTAAAGTGAGTCTTTCTCTAGACCACCAGCCCCAGGTTATTAGACCCAAGGTTTGTCTTAGCAATGCACTAGAAGTTGCATTAGCAGCTGCTGCTGCAAGAGCAGGGCCTGAAGCCAACCATGGACATGGCCAGCAACCTCTCCAGCAGGCCCAGACACACCAGAGCCAGGCTTTCCCAAAGCTGGGCTTCCTCAGAGCAGAGCCTCTCAGAACAGCCTTTCCATGTATGCTCTTTCCCTGGATGGCCTGATGTGGGCCCAGCTGGTCCTACAGCCTGGTGACTGCCAAAGGCAGGCACCATGCATGATGTTCTATATACACTGCACATACTTGTCATGATACCCATGACAGGGTTATATGACTGTCATCTCTCCTGAGCTAGAATTCCAGTATACCTCATAACGTCTTGTTCCTGAGATACAATGAGTACCCAAAGCAGTTAGTACCAAAGAAGTTGGTACTGGAAAGGGCAGCAAGCCACGACGCAACTGACGCTGACCCTACAAACGACAAGTACCAGGGCAAAATGCTCACATCAGTATGCACCAAGTACCAAATACCATACGTTTCAAAGTAGTCGAGTACCAATGTCTGACTGGAAATGGCTCAAGAAGTACATCCGGGAAAGGCTCTGACACTTGTTGTTCTGTGACAGAGCTGGGACACACACAGGTCTGACCCCAAAGACCACACTTCGTGTTGAACCACAAAACCCATGTCACAGAGCAGGAAACTCAAAAACAATAGCCATCTCATGCAGCAGCATGTGCTGTCCAGAACCATTCCCATCTGGGAGGCAAATCACTGCCACGGGAAGCTGTTCTATTCTGTTTTGTACTGGGAATTGAACACGGGCACATGCCAGATAAGGCATCTACCAGTGACCTACATTCTCACCACTTTTTACATCTTTTTTGAGATAAGGCCTTGCTAAGTTGCCTATCTTTTGAATTTGTGATCCTCCTTTCTCAGCGTTCTGAGTAGCCGGGACTACAGGCCTGAAACCCACACTTGGCTGGGAGATAGTTTGCTAGAGTGTTTTGTTTTGTTTTGTTTTGTTTTGTTTTGTTTTGAGACAGGATCTCACTATGCAGTTCAGGCTGGAGTTAAACTCACTATATAGCCCTGGCTGGCTTCAGACTCACAGCAATTTTCCTGCCTCAGCCTCCTGAGTGCTGGGATTATAGACATGAGCCACCACACCTGGTAGCAAATAGTATCAATTAATATATTTCCAATTTATAATTTTAGGGGACAACATAAAATCAATTTAGAAACTACATAGTCTAAGGTAGTAGTTGCCCACTGGTACTACTACCTTATGAGTCCATATCCTCTCAGCCTTTAAATTCAAACCCTGGCAATATAGGTGCTTGTGCTTAAGAAAAGAGGTAAAAGATTTAAGGCAGCAAAAACTGAAATGAAAATGGATGAGTAATAAGTGCAAATAAAACCTCAATAGTGATTTAAATGCCGGCATTTAAGGGGGGGAAAAAAGCATAAATGGCAAAAGTAAAGAAATAAAACATGGGTAAATTTTTTTTTAAGGAATGTGATGATTCCCACTTTCAGAACACAACAGACTAAGCCTGCCAGGCATGGTGGTACACTGCTTGTAATCCCAGCAATCCAGAAGCTGAGGCAGGATGATCACTGAGTTGGGGACCAACTTAGGCTACATAGTGAGTTCAAGGCCAGCCTGTACTCCAAAGCAAGATTCTGTCTCAAATAAATAAACAACAGCATGCAAGTAAACATTGAAGGAAATTTTTTAAAAAAGGAAAAAGAAAAGCAATGACTAAGAAAGTAAACATTTTGGGGATGGGGATGAGCTCAATGGCAGAAAGCTTGCCTAGCATATTCAAGGCCCTGGGGACAATTCCCAGCACCAGAAAAAGAAAACTTAAAAGAAGCTAAACATTTTAAAAATTAAGCATAAACTTGTTTGTGTGGAACATGAAACTATGGCATGCACCTATATTCCCAGCTGCTTGGGAGGCTCAAGCAGGAGCATCTACAAATTCAAGATGAGCCTGGGAAATTAAGCAACAATCTCAAAATAAAATTTTAAAAAGGGCTTGGGAGCCATGTGTGGCAGCACACTTCTGCAATCCTAGCACTCTGAGAGTCTAAGGCAGGAAGATGGAAGCTCCAACCCAGCCTGGCAATTTAGTAATTTAAGGAGAAAGATTAGAAAAGAGAAAAGGAGGAGGGGAGAGAAGGGGAGAGGAGGAGAGGGGAAGGGAGGGGGGGAAGGGAGGGGAGGGGGTAGAGAACAGATGAAAAGAAAAGATAACAGACAGGAGAGAAGAGAAGGGGAAGGGAGAGAAGGGGAGGGTATGAGGAGGGGAGCAGGGAGAAGGGAAGGGTATGAGGAGGGGAGGGGGAGAGGGAGACAGGTAGGGGACTGGCTATGTAGTTTAGTGCTAAAGTGCTTGTCTAGCAGGTTCAAGGACCTAGATTCAATCCCTGATAACCCTCCACAGCACAAAATATATATATATATATATATATATATATATATATATAGCCATGGTTCTCCTAAAACTTCTAAAGGAGAAAAGCCTCAAAGAGCCTTAACCTTTCATTCTCAGCTCAGGTTATTCAGAAGGCAAGCCCTCTGCAGCTGCCCCCCTTTGCAGTTAGGCCAAGCAGAGCTGAAAAGGTCACTGAAAGCTGGGCTCCCTCCCTCAGTACCTGACAGGGAAGCCACAGAGAGGTGACACCTGAAGAGAGGGTCTCTGTGCCCACAGGATGAGCCCTCTTTAAAAATTAATAAAAGATAAAACAAGAAAAAATACTATTGACTGTAAGAGGGCACTAGACTACCATTTCTTGATACAGTTTCATACATTCCATTTAACACACCTATCAAGACAAACAAGAGGGCAATGGGGAACAAAAAGGATCACAACGTAGGGTGTGTGCGCGCAGCTCCCAGCGGTGAGACCTCTAGATGAAATTCCCACTGACTACAGTGTCAGTGAAGAAGGACTGAAATGTGCCACTGCCAGCTGAACCCTGGCCTCTGACAGCAGACAGCGCAGCTGCACAGGAAGTTGTGTGGGCAAAGGGCTTGGCCCCCACCCCCCACACACGGAGTCACGGGTTGCAGCAGCAGAGGGGAGCAGGAAGGAAAGCTTGGCTGGGACGGAATGATGATTCACTCCAAGGACCAGGGAGAAAATCAGCACTGCAGCAGCTTACCAGGCCCTAGAAAGGCACCGCTGCTAAGAACAGGTGCAGAGGGAATAAAGAAGCACTATGCTAAACAGGCAGGGACAGGCACTCAGAGCAAGAGAGACGTCAAGGAGACTTGTAACACACACTGCGTAGAGCAAAAGCTGAATGCCTAAGGAGGAAGTGACAGTGGGCAAGTTTCCCACGATGTACAATTAAAGAACAAAAATATGAATGTGCAGTGTGAGAAAATGACAAGCGCAGATTCAGGACCTAAGATCTAACAAAGACTGTGTAACTGCTGTTGAAGAAACTAGCTAAATGGAAGAAGAGACTAAACAGGACACAGTTACAGAAGGACAAAAGTACAGACTGATACTTCACTAACACTTCCTGTTCAAAATTTTACATCAGTTCTTCAAAAAGTTCTAGAATCTGCAAGGAATTGTACATTAGAGGGGCCTTGCATTTCTCTACAACAAATTCCTCTCCTCATGGAATAAGTGTGAACTCCTAAGAAACACAGAACTCTATACCCAACTGTGAAGACAAGAGGAGGATATAAATTTGAACAAATAGATACTATATAATCTACACTACCTTCTTTGAAACACTAATTGAAGGTATACTGTACTTTATCAAAAATTAAATCCAAATTCCTCAAAAAATGGTATATGAGGGCTAACAGCATGCATTAAGACCAAACTGCAGACCAGTAACCCTAGCACTCAAGGGGTTGAGGCAGGAGGATCCCTGTCAAGTCAAGGCCAGCCTGGACTATATAATGAGTTCAAGGCCAGTCTGGACTACATAAGGAAACTTTGTCTCAAAAAACCCCAAAAATAAAAATAAATAAGGTAAAAGACTAAGCTAAGTTAATTCAGACGTAAACAATTACTGCTTCAACAATGACTGAAAATATCTAGTACTTTTAAAAAGTGATACACAATATTTAAATTTATAGTATGACCTAAATATAAAATGTAAAAGAGGAAATAAAATCATGCCAAAAGCATCCTTCATGGTGACTGAGATAAAGGTATTTCTGGTCTTGATGTTGATAAAGAAATTTATCAAATCAAAAACCTGAAACAAATACTTTAAAGGAAATATAAGCAAATCAACCTAAGCCACAAGAACAAAGTCCCACCAACCACAAACAACAAATGCACAGGCCTTAAACTCTCATGCTGTGGTAAGCAAGCACCACCCCAACCTTGCACACTTGCTGTGCATGCAGGCTGGTCTGGTGACTCACTTCCACCCCAGGAGCACTAGGCCGATTAACACTGTGATAGTGTCACACCTCAGCCTCAGGGAGGCCTGGCAG